AAAATGCGTCTTAATTAAAAAATCAAAAATTTGTTTCAAAATAGAATATATGACAATATTAAAATATAATATATCCTAGACTGACAAATCATCTCCGTTCAGAATCGTTTTTCGTATACAATGATACCTATCATTGCATTCAAATTTAATCCCATCCATTACAGTAACCTACTGTACAGCAGAGCGACATCCACGACAACTGGCGACTTGTCGCTAACATGTACATCAATATATTGAGCTGTGGCTCCATCCCATAGAGTAATATATTATAATAATATTACTCTATGCTCCATCCATTGTATATGATCTAAGGTGACCAGTTGTCCTCCGTGACCAGTGCAGAGACATAATATATTATGTCTATGGACCAGTGCAGGCTAGTCCAACTCTATAGCGGGGATTTGAACGATATGGTTGTTTAACACTACGCAACCACCGTTAGAGCTTATAGTACTAAATTGTTATCAACTATTGAACTATGTTAGGTAATGTCAGTATGTGATTCCTGATCACGACTTGTTCATAATTTGCTAATACAACGTTTTTTTCACGAGTCCTGTTGAAGTGTTTAATGTTTTAGTGTTGAATGTTGATTGATGATTCAATAATAATGCCTCCGAAGAATGCCGTGTTGTAGGTAGCTGTAGATCGAAAGGTATGTAATTTCTGGATTTATGTACTAACTATAATAATGTTATTATAGGTACTTATTTTTGTATGTTATTATACCTAATATATTAAGGATTGTCTTATAATACGCTATGGTATAATATTATGGTATGAATATAATGGGACGGTACCTTCATAGTTATTATAATGTTTCAAATCTGGTATGTTAAATTAGAGTTTTATTTTAACTCTTTATTGTAGATGTGATATTCCATCGTTTTCCTAATCCGCGCATAGACATGGAAAGACTTAAAACTTGACTGAAAATTCTTGGATTAGAAAATGAAGATCCTTGTGTAGTTTATGCAAAAAAATATGTTTGTTCTTTACATTTTGCCAACGATTGTTTGAGTGCTGGCACTCAAAGACTGAATTCTAAAGTATTTCCATCCCTGTTTTTGCCAATACAATTAAATAGAGATGAACCTATTGATTTGAATACTTCAGCGATGTCTGGTATTATTGAATTGGATACTTCAAAAGCTAATTCTGATGCCATTTGTAAGTATAATGCATTATATTTTTCTAGGCAAAATTGTATTCATTTCTATATTTTAGTTGTGGAAAGTGTACAATCCCTAACCTAACCTATGTAGAATAATTAGTGGTTCTGTCTATGATAACAGAACAGGTGTATGGAGAAGAAAATTCAATCGGGAATTACAGGATGAGTTAGAACTGGCACCAGTTACTAGTTTCATTAGTGGCCAGCGAATACAATGGCTTGTTCACGTAATGCGCAGAAGTGAGAAAGAGACGGTTAGAGCGGTGCTGGAATGGAGGCCTACGGGAAAGAGGCCTCGCGGACGGCCTAGGAAAAGATGGTTGGATACAGTAGAAGAAGACCTCAAGATAATAGGAGAACGAGAGTGGAGGACATCAGTTCATAACAGGGAAGAATGGAGGCAGATCGTGATGGTGGCAAAAACTCTCCAAGAGTATTAAATGCCAGCAGAAGAAGAAGATGAAATCGCGTAATGATAACGATTTATCCTCAAACCAGGTATAATGTATATCTATGATAATATAAGGTATTATGAATTGTGATAACTACATGCAAGGTTTTTGGAAAAATTGATTAACCATGCCTTATGCAAAATGCGTCCTAATTGAAAAATAATATAATATTTGTTTCAAAATAGAATATATGACAATATTTAAATATAATATATCCTAGACTGACAAATCATCTCCGTTCAGAATCGTTTTTCGTATACTGTGATATCTATCATTGCATTCAAATCTAACCTACCGTAGTCAGAGGTCCACCCCACCACCTAATGTACAGCAGAGCGATACCTACTTTCCCGCTTTTTTTTATAAATAAAGATAAAAATGGAATCCATCTCCTAATTTAAGACCAGGGGAGGGGAAAGATGTATGTATATTTAAATATCCGTGATCACTTAAAAAAAAAATGCAACACCAAAAATTATAACCAAATTACGTCACTGTATATATTATGTATTATTGATATGAATATTGAATATCATAAAATATGATATTAATAACTACGCACATTTATATCATTGCCAGGATACCACATGACGACCATGAAAGTGTGGGTCGTTGACACATCCTGGACCTTGTACGCTCGCATGTCACGATAATTATATGAGAACACTATATTATCTTATCGTTAAAAGAGAAATAGAGAGTTGGCTTATATAGGAGAGGCCTGAATAGACCCTATTATTCATACGTGAACTGACAGAGCCAGTCTAAGCACTTTCACGACAGTAGACTCTCTGAATTAATAATTTGAACTTGGAAATATTTGGACTAAACATATTTTATACTTAGAAAATATACGATTAATCCTTTTTTATCTGAACTCTTTCAATTTCTATTAATTAAAGTATCTCTAGTAAATTGAATACACAAATGTAATGTTTAACAGTTTAACAAATTTAATAAATCACTTTTAACTGATAATAGACTAATTGCTGATTAATTTTACAAATCATAATCCATCTACCTTTTTGAAATTATCATCTGTATGAAGCATCGCTACTACATCGTTTTCGATACTAAGTCGTAGCCCGTAAGGGGTTGGACTCCACCAACTATTAGTACATATTATATAAGACCAATTTATCATTTATATTAATACACAAAACATTTTGAAGATTCGCGTGTAAGTATTCGAAATATAAATGCACAACAAATAAATTTGTGTAATAGTGTTATTAATTTGTTAAACTATTGAACGAAAAGACAAGTTTTATGAATTATTATTTCCTTAGAGTCAAAGGTAATTCATTTATTATGTCTTCGTCATTTTGTTTCTCCTATATTTATTAAAATAATTTATTAAATCACCGGCTAAAGTAGAACAAATTGCCAAGACAACTCTATACATTAAAATCAAAAAAATTTGTGGTAATTTTAGCTGAAAATATATTTTTAAAAAGTAATGATTTTCCACCGATTAAAATTGTGTAATTAATGTGATGAAATTGTAAGTCAATTTTAAGTTAGAGTTTCACAATTTTTTTCATAGAATATTAAAAGATACATTATACAAAATAAAAATATCTACTAATTCAAAATTATTAAGAAATAAAATACAAGAACCAGGCGTGGATCCAAAGCGGGGGCCATAGGTCGATGCCCCCCCTCCACCTAAATTCTAGAATGTCTGTTTTCGGTGAGTTGATAAAATACACTACCTTGCCAATTGGCTAAAATTTCATCTAATATGATCCTTTCCGTAAATCTATTCTGGATCCATGCCTGACAAGAACAGTCATAAAATAGTTAACAAAATCAGTATGTAATTTTAATTAACTTAAAAGTATCAAAAAAATTTAGTAATTTAAATATTTATAAAGGAAGTTAATTTAATTTTTCTCAAAGATTAATTGTGAGCCATACGATCAATGTGACCTAATAAAATATGTACCCAATGTATTGAACTTTACGTAAAATGTAAAGTATGCTTTCATGTATGCAGGTAATGTCGGTTTGGAATATTCCCTACTATAGGTTTGGGTATAAATGCTATAATATTTATAACAATAAATATGCTTGGCTGTGAAAAAGTTATGGAAAATGGAAGTTTCTATGGCACTTAGTTATATAAAAATAACATATTTTTTCAAACGATTAAAATTGTTCATGTAAAATCAAAACTATGAGCAATATATTAAAAGAATGGCTCATACACCAATTAGGCGTAGAGGTTAATTCTCTACATCCTAATAATTTAAGTTCAAAATTTCAAAATGGAATGCTAATTGGAAAAATACTTCAGAACTATGGCATAATAAGTTCACAAGATTTTTCTTTATTGGTCGATCAAGAAGATGAAGTGATAAAAAAATCTAATTTTCAGCACCTAAAAATGTGGTTGAATATTTTACACATTCCATTAGACAATGATACTGTTACTGGAATAATATGTGGAGAAAGTTCGGTGATTCTTGCATTTTTGTATAAATTGTGTTTTCTGCTCGAATGTCCAAATAATTTAAATATAATTGGACACGCCAAGAAGTTGTATAAATCGATCGGAAATTATGATTTTTCACATAGATTATTTACGCCTGGAAAAATTGTCAATTTCCCATTTAATAAACCACTAAATCAGAATAGAATCAATAAAAAATCCAATGAAGATCTTAGTATGCTGAATGAAAATTATAATATTGCTAACTTTGAGTGCAGTTTATCATTGAAAATAAATAGATGGACTGCCAGAGGATACCAATCTTGTAATAGGTAATTGGTAAATTGCTATAATTAAATAATTTTTCAGCTAGATACCTAACTATAGTTCAATCATCCATATAAGTATATGTGTTGTTGATTGTGCTCGTTTAATATTATTGATACACTTTTTTTTCATGTTATCATTGGTATTTAATATTATAATAATACATTTTCAAACATATATTTTATTTCGCAAAATGTTTAATAAAATCATAATATGTTAATTTGAAATTTAATATTAAATGTAAGTGTAAGGCATCTCTAGTTATTTTATTTAGGTGTCTCAATAACATATGTTGAATGAGCTAAACGCAATCAACATATTGATCTTTAAGCCTTTTATTATTGAACGGCCTTACAAATGCACGCATTTATTGTAAAACCACATATTTATATTCTAATAAAAGCTCATTATTATAGTATAGGTGCSGTTTTTATTACACACAGAGGAGACAGAATAATACTTGTAACGTTAATATGATAAAATACATTTAATATAAATTAATTCTCAAAAATTTAAATTGAAAAATATTAATTTTTTGAGTATAGACATCATTATTGGYGAATTCATAATTCACACAAGAGAAGCGTTTACACTATCAACGACCACTTTGAGTTTATAAAAGCATTGTCTATTAGTACAGCGGTTGCCAACCTTGCGGACCACTGAWACCATATTCTAAATTCTACGGACCATCTATATCTTAAAATAGTTTTATTTTATTACATAAATACCGTACTACTACTGATAAATTTTGCACCAAAATATTATTAAAAAAATACATATTATGTAAAATAATAAAAAAGGTTTTATTTTTTTTTATGATGAAAGTTTTAAGTTTTAATTAAATTTTAATGTGATATTTGTTCCTGTTTGTTTTGAAGAATTTCGTGCAATTTCGGCTAATAAAATAATATTGCAAGTTAAGTTCAAATTTTTCCGCGGACAACCTAAATTTTCACCCGGACCATCAGTGGTCCACGGACCACCGGTTGGCGACCGCTGTATTAGTAGGTATACGGTTTATATGGTAGCCAATGGCTCAACTAGGGCTAAAATATTAAGGTAGATTGCTGTAGCCTGTAACCCCCATCTGATATTACACGAAAAGTAATCCCACCCCTATATAGGTATTCACTTAAAAACATGAAAACTATATTTATTTACTCAAGTTTTATTTTTCACAACATTAATATATATACTGTCTGTATATTATAGTTCAATCAATATACTGTAAAATTATGGATAATAATCGTATCTATGTACCGACATAAATCGTTTACTTAAAAACAAATACAGGCATACAGCTAGTTATTTTTACCTTATTTATCATATATTTAATGTAAAATGACTATACATATTTTAAACCTTTCAAAAACAAAAAAAAATTAAAACAAATAGAATTAAAGTTGTTTAAAAGATTTGTTAAAATTTAGGAAACGATTGAATAATTTATTTCAAGTGGCTATTATATGTTTTTTGGGGGAGGGAGATGGCTAATCCTAGTTGGCTTATGATGGCAATAATAATGGTTTGTATTAGGTATATTTTATTGTATTATACATACCATAAAATATAATCTAAA